ATTTTTAAAAAAAAAAAAAAAAAAAAAAAAAAAAAAAAATTCTCTTTGTAAATTTAAAGTATAATGAAGTACTTTTCCTTTGAAAAAAAAAAAAACTATTTCAGATAGCATTTTTAAAATTATATTTATTTGATTAGAAACTTCGTAAAATAAAATATATATGAAGAATTGAACTTTTATTTAAATGAATGAAAATATTTATTTAATAAGATGTATTAAAATATGAAAAAAAAAAAAAAAATTATATAGCAACATAGTTTTTGGAAGAATTTTTATCTTAAAAGGGACCTAAATTAACATGTTTATTTACTAATGTTTACGTAAATCAGAAATATATGGTGTATGACTTTATAATTTATGAATATGAAAATGGATATTTAAAAATGTAAATGTTTCATATCAATGTATATTGCTAAAACTATTATTTTGTATTAGTTTTCTTCTTTAGAAACATTTTTTTGTACTTGGAAATTATAATTATATTATATTTAATAAAAAATAATAACTGAAAAAAATATACGTAATGTATATAAATATATATGAGCTGCATATTTTTATATATATTTATTCTTTATTTTTTAATTTTTAAGATACATATATAATAATTTTCTATATTAAAAGTAAATTCATGTGCATTTTAGTTTGGTTTTTGTACTTTATTATTTTTTATAATGAAATTAAATTATATATAATAAATAATATATTAAATAAATTAATTATTTTGTTTTCCATTTAATTATAATTTTAAACACATATCATTTACATATTTATTTTTTTGTTCAATAATTTTGTTTATTCATATATTTTTAGTAATGTTTACTAAATATCATATTGCTAATAGCATTCTTTGTTATTCTTAAATAAGAATACTTAAATATAAGTACGCAAAGTTAATATATACTTCCTAATTAAAACACGAATAGGTCTTTAAGTGATTTAAACATGCGATTCCTTAATTGCATGTTAAAGATATTTTTCCTTGTAACCTAATGCATATACGAGAATACTATAAAAAAAAATTTTTTTAAAAAAAATAAAGGATAAATAATGGAATTTATTATAACATTTTTATGTAAGTATTTATAACTTATTAAAAATTTACTAAATCGGAAATTATCAAATTAAAATTATTCAAATTTTTTTTGATGTATTTTCACATACAAATGCTTTAGTACTAAATATAAGAACTTAAGCTTTAATGCACTTAATTTTCATTTACAAAATATTAAAGAGTATAACTTACAAATTTATTACAAAAAAAAAATTAATGTCTTATATATACTACTTTAATATTTCCATGGAAAATTTTTATCATAAGAATGCGTAACTTTTTATGAAAATATATGCTAAATTAAATATTTTTTTTTTTTAAATAATAAGATCTCAAATAGTTTCTTTTAATGTTTCCATTAACATTTTATGAAGAAAATGTTCATATACTTATTAAATATTCCCTTTAATTATAATTCAATTCCTATAATTAAAGTAATTAAAACATATTTTTAATAGCATAAACAATTATATGTTAATCAAATTAAAACGCGTAAATAAATTTGATTTTTTTTTTTTTTTTTTTGAACAAGAAGTTACAAGAAATCTTAATTATTTATTAAAATATGTATTTTTCAAAATCATCTAAAATAAATGTATGAAATATCACAGTTAAATATATGACAAAAATAAAACTTAGTTAAATTGTATATTAAAATTAAGTATAATATAATACCAATATAACTGTTATAATAATTTTCCATAAAATTTTTTTTATATGTTTACATTCATTTTTATTTACATACATCACAAAAATAATTTTTATTTTTAAATAAAACTTTTTTATAAAAAAAAAAATTTGTTACATAACCAAAAATAATTTATCAGAAAAAAAAAAAAAAAAAAAAAAGTAATTAAAAAGCAAATAAAGGTCATGAACAAAAGTAAGTCACAAAATAAATAAAAATGCAAAAAGGAAAAAAAATTATAGAATATATAAATTGAAAGCAACCCATTTTCTTGTTTTGATAATTTTTTTTTTTTTTTTTTTACATTTTAGAGTTTAAAATGATATTTTCCAATAATCCAGAGACAATAATATATAAAATTACTTTGAAAAATATCTCACGAAATTAACCTTTTAATAGTTAAAAAAAAAAAAAAAAAAAAACTCTTTATTAATTCTACAGATTTTACAAAAAGTATTATCTTTTCCTTTTTTGTATGTATTACATAATTCAAAGATACATATGAATTTCTTTTTTCATTATTAAAGAAATTAATAGAATTAAAACTAGAAAAAGGAAGATTACTTATTTTTTTAAAATTTTGAGATTTTTTTGACATTTTTATACACTTAATTATATATAAAAAGAGAAAAATAAAATTATATAACAGTGTAGTTTAAAAAAAAAAAAAAAAAAAAACATTACATTTAATTTATTTAATTAAAATTACTCTTCTACTTATTCTTAAACACTCCAAATAATATATATGTAATTGAAAAAAAAAATTGATAATTTTCCGAATACTATATATTAAAATGCATAGATTAAAAAAAAAATTTATTACATTTATTTTATATCACTAAAATATGTAAAAAAAGGCTTATATATATATATATATATATAAAATATGTTGATTATTATAATGAAAATTTTTTAAATTATTCAATATGCTCTCATTCATTTCTTTATTATTGATTAGTTTTCCTTGTTATCCATTACTAATAAAAAAATGAAAGAAAAAATGAGTTTGAACTAATGGTTATATTCTAATGAATACTTACTCTTGTGTAATATATCGAATAATAAAATTTCTTAAAGTAGAAAACAATTTTTTAATCATTTAATACAGATAATTCTTTCCCTTTTAATTATTTAAAATAATAATAAAAAAATTAATTGCATATTTTTTATTATTTTTCTCTTATCTATTTTTCATTTTTTTATTATACTGATAACATTTTAATTTTTATTAAAATTTGAAACATAAATATAAAAGTAACTATTTTTTAATTAACCTTATAATCCTTTATTTTTTGCTTTTCATATATATAAAAAAGTGTTTCAATGAAAAATGTTTACGTTTTTCATTTTTACTACTGGTTATTAAAACAGTGATAAGATGTTAAATAAGTAGCAAATTATTTAAATTTAAAATTTTTATTCTATTTTTTTTTTTTTTTATATATATTTCTTTATAATTATATATATATTTTTCTTTTTAATTACATATTTAATCAGACTACTTTGTATCAAACTTAGTTTTTTTTTTTTATAATATTATCTTTATTTCCGTTTATTTTGTTATTTTATGATTCAAGTAATATTTATTTTTATTTATTACTTCATATATATAAAATTAAGAACTTAAAAGCTTAAAACTACTTCTTTCAATTTTATATATTTTTATGAATATTATATGTATATATATATATATGTATATATATATATATATATAATTTAATTAAGCGGTCATAAAAAACTATTTAAGTTATCTTAATAAAAATTTGTTATTATGTATTTTTTTTTTTTTGCTACTTTAATAATTTTCAAAAGTACTAAATGTTTCTATATGAATAAAAAAAATATATTTTTTTTTACTTTTAAACTATTAGTTATTAAATTGTGTAAGGTTAAAAAAGATAAAAAAAAAAGTGAAATTAAAACAACACATTAAAAGGAAAAAAAATTATAAAAAAATAATTTAAAATTATTTTTGCTAATATTTTGTTCATTATGACAAATGAACATACATAAAATGAATTTTTTTTTTTTTTTCGAAGAATAATAAAAAAATAAAAATATACTTTTTATATATATTATTCTTTAATGAAATTTTTTTATCATTTTAAAAAATTTTAATGAATAAAATATATTTATCATGTATACTACTTTGTATCGCTATATTTTTGATGCTTTTAATTTAATTATAATAAGGAAAAAAAAAAAAAAAAAACTAAATATCTAATATTCATGATTTCTTTATATTACACAAATGAAATAATTTGAAAGAATATCTTCATTTTTAAATTAAAAATTCAAGATAAATTTTATATAAACATTAAAAATATTCGTTTTTCATTAATACTTAAAAATATAAAATCATATATATTTATCAAATTCTGTTAAAAAGTAGTTTTATAAAAAATTTAGAGTATATCAATTTTTCATTTTTGCTAATATATTTAGTTTTTAATTTCATTAATACATATCATACATGTGTATTTTTAAGTTGTTATTAGTCCATTTCAACTAAATACTTTTCAATTTTTTCCTCATATTTTTTCATATATAATAAATTTGCATATTCTAAGTCTATAAGGAAAGAAAAATATAAGGATTCTTCTATGTCTTTACATTCATTTTTATTTGAAGTATCAGTATTTTCTTCAATGATGTGTGATAAAAAATCATCATTTTTTATCATATTTAAATTATTATTTATTCTAATAGCATTTTCATTTCCCTCTATTATTTCATTATTATTAATTAATTTGTCATCATTTAAATTACTTCTCTTTTTTACAATTAAAGATCTTTCTTCTATACTTTTTATGTTATCTTCTATACTTTCTTTTTCATTTTCTCTTTTTTCATATTTTTTTTTTTCTTTTATAATAAGGAAATCATTATAATAAAATGAATTATAGTAAGTATATGAAGGAGATACGGTTTTAATAAAATCATGTAGAACATTATTAACATGTTTAATATTATTATATAATACATTTGATAAAAGTATTATATCATTTTTCTTTTCAGTTAAATTTGCAAATATATCATCTTCTTTTTCCTCATAATTATTTAATGGTTCTAAGTGATATAAAATGCTTTCTAAATTTTTTAGAATTTCTACCAAATTATTACCCACTTCTTCTAATATATTAATGTTTCTTATTAGAATTTCATCATTTCTCATTTTTAAATAATTCATAACACTAATTTAAAATAAGAGTAATTTTAAATATTCATATTCAAGATAAAAATAATTCACTAAATAAAAAAAAAATTAATATAATTATATTTTAGCTTTTTAAAAAGAAGATTAAATAATAAATTATTAATAAATATTAAAAACTACATATAACTTTTAAAGGTGTAAAAAAGTTAAAAAAAAAAAAAATTTAATCAACGTAAAAGATGAAATTGTTCTTTTAAAAATTAATTAACATTTAAAAATATGAAACAAATAAAAAAAATAAAACAAAACAAAACAAATTATTCTAAAAAATGAGAAAAAATAAAACAAATAACATATAAAGAATATATTTTGAAAAAAAAAAAAAAAAAAAAAAAACATATAAATAAATATATATATTGAAAAAAATAAAATTATTATAATTATATTAAAAATTTTTAAAATAAATGTATAGTTATATTTATTAATATGTAAAAAAAAAAAAAAAAAACAAATTGAAAGAGCAAATAAAGTAAATGTGTAGCAAAAATTTATTATAATAAAAAATAAAATATAAAAATGATAATGAAATATTTAAAAATTATTTATAAAAAAAAAGGATAATAAATAAAAAGAAGAAAAAAGTCTTAGTAAATATGATGAGATAACTATTAAAAAGCACATAAATGAAAAAAAAAAAAAAAATAAATAAATAAATAAAATTATAAATTAAACAAAATAATAATTGGTAGATAAAATAAATGACATAATAAGAATAAATATAGTTGACATATATGAAGAAATGCTCTTAGAAAATGAAAAAATTTATTTTACTATTATTTATTTTAATTATAAAGGTAAGGCATATGACTGTATTCTCTATAAAAAGGAATAGAAATATATTAATAAAAATGATGTTGAATTATGATAAGAAAAGAAAAAGTGATAGAATATATTTTATAAATAGTTATAATGAATTTAAAAGAAAAGATAAAGTAACAAGAAAAAAAAAATACACAACATTACATGGGAGAGATCACAGAAATCCTTATTTAGCATATGAATATGTAAATAAAATAATTGAAAATAAAAAATATGAAGTAAGTAAATTATTAGAAGAAAATTGTGATGAAAATAATCCTTTGCAAATACGAATGAAATATTTACAACATACAATGAATAATAAATTAACAGAAAATTTAAAAAGAGTTAACTCTGATGAGAAACATAGATTATCATTAATAGCAGATATAAAAAGAAAAGTTTTTTGTAGTTCTAATTGGAAAAAAGGAGATAATAATTTAATGGATGGGATGGGAAAAAATGAAAAGAAAGAACATAATTTTTCACAAAATCCAAATTTTGTATATCAAAATAGTTTCCTAAATTTAGCAGATCCAGGTAATGTTAGTTTATTGTTACATCAAATTGGTTTTGATGTATTAATAGTTAATACTGATAATTTATCAACTGATGGAATGCTAAATGATTTAAGTGAAGTAATAAAAAGTACTAGAACATTACCCAGAAAAGTTAGACCAGCAATAGTTGTTGATGATGTGATAATTCATCCTATTCAAATTGCACTGGCTGTTGAAAATAAAGCTGATGGAGTAATTTTAAATTTATCATATTTAAAAAATGATCTTGAAGATATGTTAAATTATTGTGTTAATTTAGGAACACAAGCAATTGTAGAAGTGCATGATTACAATGACATTTATTTTGCTACAAAATGTGGTAGTTATATAATTATGATTAATGAATTTGATTTTTTAAATAATCAATATGAATATAATCATGCAGTAAAAGCTATAAATTATACTATACCTGAAATAATTACTATAGCGAAAATTAACATAAGTGATATAAATTATGTAGAAAAATTAGGAAGTTTAGGATATGATAGTATTTGTTTAGAAAAAAAACTAATCGATGATGACTTAGAAAATTTTGTTCATTTGTGTAAGAGTTGGAATGCACCTCACAAAACATTATTATATTTAAATAGAAATAGTTACTTAAAGGAATTTCTCACTTATAAAAATGAATCAGAAGAAAAACATAAAGAAATTACTGACAATTTAAAAAATATTTATGACGATAAAAATATAGGTAATAAATATTCAGAGAAACTTTTAAAAAATTATGAAAGAGATTACATTGATATCGAAGATGAAAAAAAAGAAGAAAAAAAAGAAGAAAAAAAAGAAGAAAAAAAAGATGAAAAAAAAGATGAAAAAAAAGATGAAATTATAAATAAAAGGAAAGATGAAAGCACAAAAGATAATTTACTAACTAAAGAAGAAAATCATATTATTAAAAATTTTAAGGAAGAAAAAAAAAAAGAATTAATTCTATTAAATGAAATGAAAAATATTATAAAAGAGGTAGATGAACAATGTAAAAATTATGAAGCATATTCAGATTATGAAAATAAAGAAAAAGAAGAAAAATTAGAATCTCTTTTAGAAAATTTTACAAAATTAGATAAGAATTATTTAAGGGGATTTTTTTCAGATGAAGAAATTAAAAATATAGAGGGAACTATTAAACAAACTCTATTACAGAAAAAAAATATAGAACAAGGAAATTTTCACTTTAATGAAAAAAATTTAACTAATGACATTACTAATATTGAAAATTATCAAAATGAAGATATAGATATTCATAAATTAACAAAGGAATTTTTTGATAACAAAAATTCAGAAAATAACGATACAATTGATAATTCTTCAAACGATTTATTAGATGATTCTAGGGGATTAAGTTCTCAATAATTTAATTGTATTTTTTTTATTTAATAATTATTAAATTTTTGTTTTGCGTTTTTTATAAATATGAATTTTATGAATATTTTATAAAATTAATAATTAATTATTTTAAATTTAAAAATTTTTATAAAACCCTTAATTTTTTAAACTTTTTTTTTTTTTTTTGTATTATTTTCAACATTACCTATATTTGTAAAGGAATATATATTTTTAAATACACATATATATATATATATATATATATATATATATATATATATATATATATATATATATATGTATATACATTTATTTTACTTTTATATTTACTTTATTGTATTATATATATTTATTCAATTTTTTCTTTT